CTTGGCCATGAGCCTCTCTGGTCTGGAAGAAGTGAAGGGTGGAGTGAGACGGGGCAGTGACCCGGGCAGAAGGCACCTTGTGTGAACTCCTCAAGGAATGCAGGTCAGCAGGGCCCAGGGCCAGCTCCCAGGACAGAGGCAGAGCTGGACCGGACCTGGGTCTACCAGATGCTCCAGGATCCAGCATCTGGGAGGGAGTATGAGGCCACAAGTGAGAAGGGTATATAAATATGCTCAAAGATGGACTTTGTGTCTATATCTTCCTTGATTGTTTACCATTACCCGAAAACTTCTTCCCCGGTCAGTCTCTCTCTCAGCTGTGTCCCAGCTTGGGCCCTCGAGAAAGAAAGACCCTCGACTCCATTTGCAGTGAAAGGTATACTTTTACTAAAGGCCAGCAGTTACAGCCAAGCAAAGGCAGATCTGAGGATTTCTCATGTAACCCCAGTCATTTTCTGTTATGTCCTGGGCCGGCAGGCACAGGCTGCAGCGATTGGCTCTGGCAGACCATGTGGATGCCCAGGACAAGAAAGGCTGCTTCCAGCCTTTGCAATGATTGGCCAGCAAGGTATTGTGCAGGGGGGCTATAAAAGGGGGCCGCACCATTTTAAAACCTGTTCTGTTGGTGTTGCAATAAAGGAGACTGTTGGAACTTGTTGCTTCGTCTCAATGCCTCTTTTCCTGAAACAGAACATTTTCCCTTCTCACAAACATTCCCCCCTTGGTCATTTTGGTGGTGTCCAATAAGGTTCAAATTAGGTCTTTTGATAACAGTTACTCATTTTGGCACCTCTTTGGATGGGCGTTCCACATTCCATTCCCAGGCTTGGGTCCTTGGATTATTCAGTTGTCCCTCGAATGCATCTCTGGTTCTTGTCATTCTCCCCTCCCTATCCTCCCATTCCCTCTCCCCACTTTTTATGGCAAGCTGCCATCAAAGTGAAGTGAAGCAGGGCTGAAGTGCTTTGATGGCAGATCTGACATTCTACTGGTCAAATCCAGAGATGGACCCCCCCAACAGCATACCCTCTTAATGCCCTCTGCCCCCCCATACCCTCTTAATGCCCTCTGCCCCTCATGCCCTCTCCCTTCCTGGGTCTCCTGCTCAGAATACACATCTCAGAATACACACAAAGGCCTGGAGGCTAAAACATATGAAGAACGGCTGCATGATTTGGGTTTGGCTAGTCTAAAGAAAAGAAGAAATAGGGGTGACATGATAGCAGTATTCTAGTATTTGACGGGCTGCCACAAAGAAGAGGGAGTCAAATTATTCTCCAAGGAACCAGAGGGCAGGATAAGAAACAATGAATGGAAACTAATCAAGGAGAGAAGCAACCTGGAATTAAGGAGAAACTTCCTAACGTGAGGACAATTAACCAGGGGAACAGAAATTGTGAGCACTCCATCACCGGAGGTTTTTAAGAAGAGATATCTGAAATGGTATAGGTTCTCCTGCTTGGTCAGGGAGGTGGACTAGAAGACTTCCAAGATCCCTTCCAGCTCTATTCTATTCTATTCTATTCTATTCTATTCTATTCTATTCTATTCTATTCTATTCTATTCTATTTTCTATTCTACTCTACTCTATTCTATTCTATTCTATTCTATTCTATTCTATTCTATTCTATTCTATTTTCTATTCTACTCTACTCTATTCTATTCCATTTTCTATTCTATTCTATTCTATTCTATTCTATTCTATTCTATTCTATTCTATTCTATTCTATTCTATTCTATTTTCCTTACCTACTTCTCACAGGACAGGACAGCGAAGAGCCCCTGTGCTGAAGTCCGCTGTCTGAGCAGCCAGGCTTCCTGCAGGAAATGGAGGGGCTTTCAGCCTCAGCTCTCAAAGCTGGTGGGAGGCAGAAACACCTGTGCAGATTAAGGTGGGGAACCGCATCAGGGCATCAGGGCAAGCCAGGCAGGGCGCAGGGGCCCATTTCAGAGAAGGGGAAACTGAATCACCTTTCTGCAGCTCTTGCTGGGCCTGACAGCAGAGGAGGCTGGTGGGATTCCTCGGAAGAAAGAGCTGCAGGTGGGAATAATCACAATCTTAGTAAATCTTTCCCACTGCCCCAAAGCCATCTATAACAAATAAGGGCAAGAAATTATGTTGTAATCAAATAGGTACATTTTAACAAAGATTGCTGCTAATCTTCACTAAACAATCAACTGATCAATAGTAGAGGCAATTACCTGGGCAAGAGTAAACAAAAGTCAAGGAAACAATTGGTCCACTAATGGGAAAAGATGACAAAGAAGTAACAGGCAGGAGAGAGAAAGCAGGACATTTCTTTTCCCCACAGTTCATGGCCAACTGTCACCACAAAACAGCAAAGCACTAGCTCAGTGGTTCTCAACCTTTTTAATGCCACGACCCCCAACCGATCGTAAGTCAAGGACTACTCAACCCGTCGAAAGTCGAGGACTACTCAACTGGTATGGCACCGTTTGCAGAATGGGACTTTTGGCGGGCTCAGCAGGGCAGAGACAGCCTGGACAATTCCTATTGGCTTTTAAAAGCCAATAGAATTAGACTCTATTCAAAAGAGTCTATTCTATTGGCTTTCAAAAGCCAATAGAATAAAAGGGAGTAGCACAGCTAAGGAAAAGGGGGGGGGGGGAAATGGTGGACTGCATTGTTTGGCGACACCCTGAAATGGTCGTTTGACCCCAAATGGGGTCCCGACCCACAGGTTGAGAACCACTGAACTAGCAAACTTAAGGTGGCAGCTGACAATCACTTAAATATGAGCCAGCCGTGTGCTGTAGCTGCCAAAAAAGCCAATGCAGTCCTAGGTTGCATTAACAGAGGGATAGAATCAAGATCACATTCTGCTACCTCTTTACTAGGACTTAGTAAGACCACACCTGGGATACTGCATCCAGTTTTGGTTGCTATGATATAAAAAAGAGGTTGAGACTCTGGAGAGATGCAGAGAAGAGCAAAGATGACTAGGGAGCTGGAGGCTAAAACATATAAAGAATGGTTACAGGAATTGGCTAAGTCTATTCTAATGAAAAGAAAGACCAGGGGTGACATGATATCAGCCTTCCAATATTTGAGGGGCTCCTTTAAAGATGAGGGGTCAAACTATTTTCCAAAGAACCAAAAGGCAAGATGAGAAACAATGGATGGAAACTAATCAGGGAGAGAAGCAACCTAGAACTAAGGAGAAATTTCCTAACATTGAGAACAATCAACCAATGGAACAGCTTGCCTTCAGAAGTTGTGAATGCTCCATCACTGGAGGCTTTCAAGAAGAGACTGGACAGCCATCTCTCTGAAATGGTATAGGGCAGAGGTAGGCAACCTTGGCTCTTTTATGACTCTGGACTTCAACTCCCAGAATTCCTGAGCCAGTAGGGCTCAGCTTGGAAACCTCTCCCTTTCCCCTCAGCATGGCCGGCTCAGGAATTCTGGGAGTTGAAGTCCACGAGTCATAAAAGAGCCAAAGTTGCCTACCCCTGGTATAGGGTCTCCTGCTCAAGCAGGGGGTTAGACTAGAAGACCTCCAAGGTCCCTTCCAACTCTATTATTTTATGTTCTAATTAGCCAGACAAAATACCTGTTCATTCACACTTCTCCAAACCCACAAATAGGCTGCCAAGACACCACCTACACAACAAAGGCAAGTCACAAGGAAGGACAATTAAGATTGACCTTTTGAGAGTCGCATAATAAAATCAACATGCACACACACCCTCACCACTCCCAAGCTGACACCAAGGACTAGTTCCCCTATTAAAAAAACCCTATCAGTTCCCCATTTTCTCTGTAGAAACACACCCCCCTGGAAGTGAACCTGTTGCTTTCATGAATAAATGGATCATCTTCTTTCCACAGCAGCACGCCTGGCATCTTGTTTCAGAAACCTGGATCGGATTGGGACCCAGATCCACAGGAAAGAGAGTGGAAGCTGCAGATTTTCCTCCCTCCCTCTATCTGAGAGGTGACCAGGATCAGCCCAGCTCCTCTCCTTGCCTAATCTGTCAGACCAGATTGACCCTCCTGGCCCCAGAAAACGCCCCCCCCCTCTGCCTGCAAGCCCCTCTAAGGAGGAGTAGCAGCCTCCTCAGCACTCACAGGGGAGCTGAACAAGGGGTGCAAAATAGTAATTGGGTGAGAAGGGCCACCCTCAGTCAGGGACCCCCCCCCTTATGTCAGCCTTCCATCTCCTTCACAAGGGGCTTCCCCAGCACTGCTGCCCTCCCCCCATAAAAGACCCCATTTGCCCAACAAGAGAAATAATCCCAGGGACAAGGACCTGCTCAGGTCCCCCAAACTGGCCAGGAAATCAGATCCCCGGGAATCCCCCACCTGGAGACCCTCCGTGTCTCTGAACCTCTCTGGTTTCCCAGTCTTTGGGGGTTCCTCCTTGCTCTAAAACAGGCATGCGTTGAGCAGGATTTTTTGAGGCAAGGATGAAGTTGCCCTGCTTAAAGATGAAACAGGTGCATAAGCAGGGTGGTGGTGGTGGAGGGGTGGGTGTCTCCTCTGAAAGATCCCTCCAGGAGTACAGAAGAAGGAAGTTGGGCCTGAGCACATGGAACCCCTCCCCAAATCCCATCCAAAGCTACCGGACTTGTCAATCAACTTGTCAATGAACAAAACAAACATTTGGGAAGGTAAAGGGGGTCCTGCAGCCCCCTCCCCACTCTTTGAGTCATCTTTGGATCCAGATCTGACAGCTTCTGTGTGCCTGCAGCCTAGTTTAGAAAGATATGGGTAAGTGTGTGTGTGTGTGTGTGTCTGTGTAAGATTGAGAGGGAGTGAGAAAGAGGGAGGGACGGAACGAGAGAGGGAGGGAGGGAGGGAGAGAAAGGGAGGGAGCGGGAGAGAGAGAGGGAGAGAGGGAAAGAAGGAGAGAGGGAGAGGGGGAGGGAGGGAGGGAGCGGGAGAGAGAGAGAAGGAGAGAGGGAGAGAGAGAGAGTGACAGCAAACGTATATAAAGTTTTGCTGTTATTTTAAATTGGCTTGGCCTCTGGCTACTCTACAGAAGGACTTGTGCCTCTGTGTTTGCTTGAAAATGATCTGAGTCTGGCTGTGCTCCAAGGCTGTGAGCGTGTGAGCGAATGTGCAGAAGTGAACCCCGGGGGCACTTGTATAACACTTTCTTCTCCCACAGAGTTGTGCTTCACACTTCTGGCGTCTCACTGTCAGCAGCAGCGGTTTCCGCCCTTCTCTGTTTCCTTTTGGGGAGCCCTCGTGCTGGGTTGGCTCCCCCACAGCCCTCAACTTCTGCTTTCCAAGCCTCCCTCCTGACCAGCCCCCCCAGCCAGTCAGTTGCACTTCCTTTCTCTCTACCACTCCAAAGAGACACAGACACATGTGCACACCTACACGCACAGAGGCAGAGTGACCACTGATGTTTGAGAGAGTGACCTACGCCGATCTGCAGTTTGCAGGAAGCCGTCAGGAGAAAAGCCCTGGGGAAGGTAGGGACCAGCCAGGCCAGCCCTCCTGGGGCTCCCCCCCCCCCGTGCCTCCTGCCCCCTGACCTCCACTTGTTTTCCAGAGCCGGACGAAGGGGAGCTCACCTATGAGAACCTCCAGGGACCCCGGGCACAGGGGGATTTGCCTCCCAGAGCCACCCAGGGGGGCAAAGGTGAGTGCTCAGGAAGCCCTCGGACGCCCGAAGTGCACAGCCCCTCAGCCCTGGGGCTGGGCTCAGTGCTCAGCACCATTGAGGGGGTTTCCTTTGAGTGATTGAGATCATCTCATGGGGGGGGGCATGGCATGGCACAGAGAGAGGTGTCTTTTCTCCCCCTCCCCAGGAGAGCTGGGCAGAGCAAGGGATGCCGTCTTCACACAAGCCATCCTTAACTCTAACTGGAGGGGGGGAGGCTTTAAAGGGAGCAGAACAGCACAGCACCCCAGTCACCTGGTTTTTGCACCTTTCGCTCCCAGCCTGGCTCCCTCCAAGCATGTCCTGCTCTTCTCCACAGACCAGAGTCTTCCTCAGGAGACCCCCTTCCAGACAGGGGTGACTGCAGCGGCCCAGGGGCTCAACACCCGGAAGCAGCAGCCTGCTGCCAGGACACAGAGTGCCCTTGTCCGGGGGCGTCAGGGCTGCGCAGGTGGGCATGAAAGAGGGCATCACCCTAACGCAAGGCAGTTTTGTCATTTTGAGAACCCCCCCCCCAATTCAGCTGCAAGGCATCCCGCCCGGTTGGAGGGAGGTGCAGTTCGCCACCAAAACATGCTCAGGATGCTGGCCCAGATTCCCCTGCCCTGAGACTCTCCAGAGTTTCTGTCTATCTGGATGGGGAGGGTATCCTTCCAGGTCCCACAAAATTCTGCTGCTTCCCCCACCAGAGCAGGCAGCTGCAGGGGATAGAACTCTTCAACCACCAGCTCCCCTATGAGCCCCAATTCTTCCTTTCCCAGGATGTCCGGAGTGGTGTGTTCCTCCGTCAGGGTGGAGCTCCCGGACCAGGGGTGTGGCCTTGGGAGTTCTGGGCATCGGCCTCTTTCTTCTCTCCATCATCAGCGTCAGTCTTGGGGTGCAATGTGAGTTGCGGAGACCTGAGGCTTGACCCTCCCCCTGCAACTTGCTTGGGGAAAAGGGTGGCACAGATTGTTTTCTCACACGCCTTGCACTGCCATTTCCTGAGCTCAGAGTGGGCTCCCCAACTGCCCAGTGATTGGTCCCCTCCCTACATGCCCCCCGCCCCATGCTCTGCTTCCCCAACTGCCCCCCATCTTTCTAGACTTGCAGGCCTCCCGGCAGCTCCAGCAAGCCTCCCGAGACCATACAGCTGAGCACCACGTCCTGCAAGCCAGCCTGGAGGAGAGCCAGTACCTGCTGCACTTGACTGAGGAGGAGCTCAACTCCACCAGGGTGGCCCTTTGGCAGAGTCGGGTGGCCGAGAACCAGACCCGGCGGCAGCTGCAGCACCAGGAGCGGCTGCTGGACCAAACCAACCACAGCCTGGCTGTCTTGCGGAGCGAGAGGGAGAGCCTGAAGGCCAACCTCAGCCACGCCACCTCCTGCAGGCAGATTGGTACGTTCCTGGCCCAGCTCCCCTTCTGAGCCTGGGGGGTCCAGGGGAGTCTCTGCAGCCCCTTTCTGGTTACTGTGGGAGCCCTTCGGGTTTGTGTGTGAGTAGGAAACCACAGGAAGGCTGCTGAGGGAGCCCCCCCCAGCCAGCCACAGCTGGGCTCTCGTGCAGCCACTCTGGGGAAAACCCAGCACCAGCTGGGGGGAGGAGGAGGAGGAGGCGGTGAGCCCTCTGCATGAGCTGGTAGGCAAATCTTTCATGGGGGAAGGAAGTGCTCTAGTGGGGGCCGCAGTGTTGCAAAGTGGGTGAGGCTGGATGTGATGGGTGGGTGGGGTGATCAGTTTTTTCTTTTCTTGTTTTTGAAGAATCTTGACCCCTGGTCTCTTCCCCAGGCTGCTGTCCCAAGGGATGGAAGCTCTTTAGGTGGAAGTGTCTGTGGATTTCTGATACATGGAGTACTTGGGACAGCAGCAAACAGGTCTGCAAATACACTTCTTCTCAGCTGCTTATTCTGAAGGAGTCCTGGGATGCTCAAGACATCTGGTCCTCCGGGGTGAGTAGCAAAGGCTTCCTGGGCAGGATCAAGGCTACGGGCAGCCAGTGGGTCCAAGCCAAAGGGGGGATCAGGAGATCTGACCAAACCACACACTGATCCTTCCTTCAATAGATAGAAGGTAGAGAGGATAGGTGATTAGATGATAGATAGATAGATAGATAGATAGATAGATAGATAGATAGATAGATAGATAGACAGATAGATGATAGATAGATAGATAGATAGATAGATAGATAGATAGATAGATAGATAAATAGATAGATGATAGATAGATAGATAGATAGATAGATAGATAGATAGATAGATAGATAGATAGGTGGATGATAGGTAGATTAGAGATAGATGATAGAGAGAGAGAGAGAGAGAGAGAGAGAGAGAGAGAGAGAGAGAGAGAGATAATGAGACAGATAATAGATATGATAGATAGATAATATGCCATGAAATCAGTGTTGACTTAGTGACCACATAGGTTGACCTTCTCTAGATTTACGTATGATAACCTGCTGTGTCCTGTCACACAAAGATTTATTTGCTGGATATAATTTAGAGACTGCCTCATTCCAGATGAGTTTGGACAGCTTATGTTTTAAAATGTAGGAGCAATTAAAGAAGAGACAATTCATAAGCACCTACAATACAGTCTCTGAATTGCAATAAAACCCACACCCTGCCCACTGAAAGAAAGCTCTTGCCTTTTGATTGATTGATTTGATATCTTTTCACTTGGCATCCTCCTTTTTGTTTTTTGTTTTTAGAGCTTTGAACAATCAAATCATTACTGGATTGGCCTAAGAAAAGAATATAGTACCTTTCGCTGGGTTGATCAATCCCCTGTCATTGGAATTTCAGACATGTGAGTCGTGGCCCCATAACCAGCCCCTGGGAGAATCTGTGCTTGGACCAAGCTGCCTCTTCTCACCACTCCAGATTTCCATAGGGTTGAAATGCCACCCCAGTGGGATGGAGGCCATTCCAGGGATGCCCCATTGCCCATCCTCATTAGGGTCAGTTAGAGGCTTTGGCTTCCCACGTGCCCCTCTTGCTCCGTGCTTTGCCTAAGGGGCTGACCCAAAGAGGAGAGGGGAGGGCTGGGAGGCTTGGCCCCACCAGTGAGTGGGATGAGGGGGGGGCTGCTCTGTAGAAGCTGAGAAGGGCAATGCTGGACTGATGGTGGCAGAGCCAGCCCTCCCCTCCCCTCCCCTCCTTCCTGGGCCCCTGATGGGAAGACGTGATGTTAGCCAACAGGAGTATGGAGTAAATCTTTTCATATAGAACACTGATGGCAAACCTTTTAGAGACCGAGTGCCCAAACTGCAATCCAAAACCCACTTATGCGGGTGCCGGGTGGGTTTGGCCCATTGGGTGGGTGTGGCTGCGGTGGTAACGGCAGATTGGGTGGGACTAAAAAGTTCAATCAATCAATTCCAACTTTGCAAGATCTCTTTTTTCCCCCGTGAGAAGTTGAAATTGACTGAACCTTTTTTTTTTTTTTTTTTTGCATACGGCTGCAGAGGCCTAAAGCGAAAAGGTTTTATAAAACCCAGCTGAAGGCCTAGGACTGGGGCGATGGCGCGCGTGCCCACAGAGAGGCTCTGAGTGACGCCTCTGGCACCTGTGCCATAGGTTCACCATTACTGATATAGAACACCTGACATAAATAGGCTTATTGGAGGCTCTGCTTTTTGCACTAAGATCTTCAACCCACCTATCCAGCCTGCATGTGGTGGGAGTCATGGCTGGGGGTGGGGGCAGGAGCACTTTGCTTTGCTTATGAAATAAATAAAAGAACTGCCAAGTCATTCTTCAGATTCTCTTGAGTAATATGTCAGTGGAATCCACTGGCAAAATATGCAGAGCATCTGAAAGGAAGGGAATCCTCCCTTAAGGCCCCTCCTTATTTTGGGGCAGGATGCAACCCAGCCAAGAGGGCCTCCTGGCTAACTACTGCCTGTGGCTGGCCTTGCCCATCTCCCACTGCAGCCTGGCATGAGTGGGGTGGTGCTGCGGGAGAGGCAGGGGTCCCTGGCACAGGTGGGGTGGTGCTGCGAGAGGCAGGGGCAGAGGCCCAGAGCCAGCTTCTCTCCTTGCTTTCCTAGTCCAAAGTGTAGAGAAGCAAACTATAAACCCAACTGTGCCTACCTGCATGAGGGAGCTTTGCGTCTGTGTTCCTGTGATAGACAGAAAAAATTTATCTGCGAGAAGACTGCCACCACAAGCGAGCCCATAGGTGAGCCCACCTCCCCCTTCTTCAGTTTGGCTGTGCTGTGTTTATGAGGGTCAGCTTTCGCCCCATTCGTCTCCCTTTAGCAGAGTGTTTGTGTGGGCGGGGCTATGTGGAGCTGCTCAGTCACGGGCATCTTTATTTTCCAATGCTGTTGTGAGTCCAGTCCCCTCACAAACTGAATTGGGGGTGGGTGGCTCAGCTGGAGTGGCCCCATCCAGAGATGGAGCTGACTGGCTGGCTGGCTATCTACCCTCAAGAACTCCCCTGCCAGGCTTAGATGGGCTTAGAGCTCAATCAGAGGGCAAGTTGGAAAGCTAGAGAAGCCCAAGATCTGCACAGTCCCCCTCCCCGATACCTGACAGTGGAAACAGCTGGTCAGCATCTTTAGAAGGGGAGAGGGTCAGAGCTGTTGGGGGACCTCTGCACTGTGAGCAGGAGGAAGGGCTGCCCCTCTGTTAGCCTGTTCTTTCTGAGCCCCAAAGGGCAACGCAAACGCCAGAGCAGCCCTGCTGAGCCCAGCCTTGGCATAGTCCAGCATTTGGTTTCTCCCCCTGGCCAGCTAGAAGCCTCTATGGCAGGGGTGTCACTCAATTTCATTGAGGGCCGCATCAACATTGCGGTTGCCCTCAGGGGGGCGGGTGGGTGTGGCCTACTGGGTGGGTGTGGATGGAGTGGGTGTGGCCTACTGGGTGGGTGTGGCCAGCTCTACATCGTTCGCGTCAAGGGTGCCTGTGGGGACCTGGGCAGGAGTGGGACAGATCTGAGGGTTTCTGACAGAAGGGGGTGGGACCGGGGCAAGTGCCATGGTGCATTCCTTCATTCCTCACAAAGGGTGACACCTCCCCAGCATGCACCCAGGGGGTGGGGCCGACACGGCAGGGGCTGGTTCCTTGCTGTTTCCAGACGGCCTTGTGGAGCTAAGACTGAATGCGTTTCAGCATAAATGGCCACCACAAAAATTGTACATTGGCTCCCTCCCGGATGGTCTGGGCCAGAGGCAAGGCAGTGGGGGCCGTACCCTCACTGTTTCCAGGATGGCTTCGCAGGCCACATGAAACCACTTTGCAGGCCGCATCCGGCCCCCGGGCCTTGTGTTTGACATGTCTGCTCTATGGGAACCAAGGTGGGCCCAGGCCTGACCCAGCCGGCTCCTCTGATGTTTGGGTGCTGTGCAAAGAGCTAGGGCTCCCCTCTGGCGGAAGGGCAATCATACAGGCTGGATAAAAAAATATTAGCCATCACCAAATCACAGAGCAGTGAATTCCTTGAGTTCTGTCTGTGAAGAAGAGCTTCCTTGCTCTGCCCTAATTCTACCCTCCCAGGGGGCCCTGATCCTGGCTTTGGAGGAAGAGAAGCGATTCCTCTCTGCCCAGGTTTGCCTTGCTGTGCCATGCCATGCCATGCTGTTCCCCCACCAAACAAAAGAGCCCCACATGGCCTGGGCTTTTCTGCCCACCCTCTGGATTGCCCTCCCCTCTGTTTCTCCCAGGGTGAATGTCCTGCTCAGATGGGGTGAGCAGAACTGACCCTAGAATTCTGTCTGGCCAGGCTACTTTCAGTCCCCTCTCCTAGCTGGGAACTGGCCCTATACAGGCAGTCCTCGACAAATGACCACAATTGGAACAGGAAACGTCAGTGCCAACTAAAATGGTTCTTAAGTGAGTCACACTCAATTTTATGACTCTTTTGCCACAGTTGTTAAGTGAATGGCTGTGGTGGTCAAGCAAATCCAGCCGGCTGGGAAAGTCGCAGAAGGGGGGGGTCACGTGACTCTGGGATGCTGAAGCGGTTGTAAATCCATGTTGGTTGCCAAGTGCCTGAATTTTGATCACGTGACTGCACAAATTCTGATAGTCATAAGTGCGAGGACTGCTTGTAAGTCCCCTTTTCAGCCCAGTTTTAACTTGGAATGGTCATTAAATGAATGGTTGTAAATCAAAGACTACTGCAGGGTTGTGTGTGTGTGTATGTGGTCCCAGTATAGACCACTTTGCACTTAATTAAAGTGAATTGCCTGAACTGTCTTCTCCAGTTGGTGAAGGGTTCAGGCAGCGGCAAGAGACCCACCAGCCCCCCCTCCCCTTCCCCAGGCTGTGGGGGGGGAGCAGCCTCCCCCACCGGCTCTGCCCTCCCCCCCCCTCCAGCCACAGGAAGCTGAGGATTCTACCATTTCTCATGGTTTTTTTTTCTCCCTTCCAGGGTGACCTTTGCTATTTTCTTTCTGCAACTACCTCATTGTTGGCTCACTGCCAGCTTGCTGGCCCCCCAAGTCTCCCTGATCCTTCCTGCGCTTCCTGCGGCACACGATCCTCGCCCCATCTGGTGGTCCAGCGCTGAGACTTCAACCGGAGGCTACACCCTGTCCAAATGAGACCCTCCCTAAACTCCCAGGAAGGAGGAGCGCAGGGGGAGCTGCCCAGAGAGGAAGCATTTCCACTCTTCGCCAAACGTGGCCCGTCAGGAGACCCTTTGCACACCCAAGCTTGACATCCCCTCCCAGCAGGATCCAGAGCTGTCAGCTTGGCCCTTACTTGGAAGGAGAGAGGGCGCCCACCTTCCCCTTCCAGGGATGCAACTGTCAGCAGGCAGAGAAGGCCTGGCTACCCGGGTTGGGTCTCCCCCAGATGGTCTCTGGTCAGAAGAGGGAGGAAGGGGGTGCCTTGTCCCCCCCACAGCTCCACATCTTTAGTATAGCTTTTCCCAGCTAGCCCCCCCCAACCTAGCCCTTGAGATGGTCTGGGGTGCAATATACACTCCCAGATGTCCCCCCGACTGAATCTCTCCCCCCCCCCCTCAGTCTTCTGGGTTTCCTTCCCAAAACAAACCACAAAGCCTCGTGGTTCCTGGTCTCTGCTTCCCCGATTCTCGTTTCAAAGAAAGCCTTTTTGCCCTTTTAGGGGGCTTCACCCTCATTGTTCTGGGCAGTTCATGGAGACAATGTTGTCCATGCAGCCCTTGATGCCTCCACCCACCACCGCCCCTTGGTGACCAAAAGCAAAATCTCCAGTAGTTACAAACTGGGAGGGCAATAATTTAATCCCTGGCCAGCCCCCTCCTCCAGGGGTTCCCCAAGGAAAGAGAAATCTGCGCAGCCCCCAGCCATCTGCTTGGTTTGCATAGCTGGGGGGGGGGACATCTTGGATTATTGCAATGTGCTCTTCATGGGGGCTACCCCTGAAAAGTGTCCAGAAGCTTCAGCTCCTGCAAAATGAGGCTTTACAATGCAAGCTGCATTGGGTAACAGCTTTACAATGCAAGCTGCATTGGGTGCCAGTTTGCCTCCTTGTCCAATTCAAGATGTTGGTTGTGACCTAGAAAGCCTCCCATGTCCTGGGGTCAGGTTATCTAGGAAGCTGTTTGTTATATCATCTGGTCCCACCTGGCGAGGCAGGGAAGATACATTGCAGATCCCATGAATCAAAGAACTCCAAGGGGAGTCCAGGAAGGGAGACTTCTCTGCTGTTATCCCCCTCCCCATGGAAGATTCGCTTCTTCGGAGATGAGACAAGTCCCCCCCCCCACTCTCCTGGCCTTCCCTATGTCAATGCTGCTAACATCGGATGTTCTTGCTTTGACAACAGACGGAAATGTAGCCATCTTTTCTCTATCACTTTTAGAGTTTGTTGATGTTGGGAGGGGGAATGTGGATGAGAGTCCAGCTAGTCATAACAATAATAACTCAGCCATGGGAACCCAAGGTTATTAGGTCCAGAGTTGATAGAAATTTGGCAGGCAGGAGAGATGGGGAGAAAGCCGGTGTGCCAAGTTAATTGGGGGATGTAATTTATGACTGTTAGTTGGAGGAGGGAATTGCGATTTGCTACTTTGACAAGGGAGGGGAATTCAGTTTTTGGCTTCAACTATGTAATGCCAATACTTTGTTTCTCAAATAAAAGATTCTTTAAAGAAAACAATGCCTCGAAGTTCTTTTGAAGAGATTCATCTGTCGGAACCATGACATTAAGCCAAAAATTCCAATTTTTATCTAACTATCTTGGGGTCCTGAGCCCCAGTCGCTGTCCTTAGAATTGAAGGATAGACTGACAAAGATTCAGGGAAAATCTCAGCAAGGAGAAGGAAGGAGTGCCTGAACCCAGCACCCCTGCAGTGGCTGCTACCTCAGAAGGGGAAGCGCAAGCCAGCACGCCAGTGGAGAAGGAACTTTTTCAGGCCTCTCAGTCGGGAGCGAGACACAGGCTGCGAGGACAGCTGATCTGGTCATTGGAATGGACCTTACACAGTGGAGACTCTAGACACCTCGAGATGGCCTTGCCACAATCAAGTGCTTCAAAGGCGGACAAGGTCGAGTTGCAAAGAGGGGCTTCCCGCATGTCGCATTCCCCGGACTGGTGGAGAACCATGAAATCGACTGCCATTGAGGACTCAGGTAAGTACCTATCCACAGCCCATGGTCAGTGGAGAAGTTGGTGACCCCCATCTCTTCCTCCTAGGACTGAGAGCAAGGTTCGAGGACCCATCCATTGCCCTCCAAATGGAGGAGCAAGCCCACAAGATAAAGCAAGCCAGCAGGCCTACACTGGAATACATATAAGAGTTTCGCAAGATAGCCGGCTGAATAGAGAGGTGGTCCAAGCAATCCCTAGTCCATCACTTCATGGAGGGACTGGACAGCCACCTCTCCCAGGCTTGTATCTATAGAGCAGTTCCTAATCAGCTGTAAGACTGGATGTTCAGCTCTCCTGCTATAGGAAACCACCTCTACAAGAAGCCGAGCTGAGGCCAGATCAACCCAAATGACAGCCACTCTCCTGAAAGCCTCCAACTGCTAGCTGAGGAATTCTGGGAGTTGAAGTCCACAAGTCATAAAAGGGCCAAGTTTGAAGACCCCTGATCTAGTTCATAACACAAAACACACTTTCCTTAAAAATGTGGAGCTGGGGAATTTCCTTAAAACTCCCCAGCTCCACATTTAAGCCACTGCCCCATTCCCTTCTTGTACTGGAATATTTTCTGCAATGTAGAAGGAATTCCACATTGTGGTTCTGAAAAAAAAACAGGCTCAGGCTTGGGTCCATGGTTCTGACACGCTAATGCAACCGCAGGAAAGGTGATGTCAGCTCACTAGGTTAGGCTAAGTTAAACTGCAGGAAATACAGTGGGAGCTTCTGTGGAGATTGAAAGACCTGGAGGTTTTCTGCAGCACTCTAACCAGCTCCTAAGGCGGTCCTAAGCCTAGAAAAGCTCCCTATTTGGGTGCATCAGGACAGGAGAGGGAGAAGAAGGAAGGAAACACTGAGGGGGAGGCCTGTCCCTGGAGAGGCTGCTGTTGGGCAAGGGGGCAGGGATGGCAGAAAGCCTTGGGCTTCTCTTCCCGCTGAGTTTCTGTCCCTGCATGGAGCAAGGGAATGGGAGGGTAGACCATGGGAAGGAGAAAAGGGGTCAGTGGGCTGCAAGGCCCAGGGCAGAGAGAGAGAGAAGCTGGTTTCTCCAGCAATGAAACTGCCCCCTGGATTGGCAATGTGGGGGGCTTTGGAGAAGCAGGGAGCTGAGTCCAGAAGGCGGGGGGGGGGTAGCAGAAGGTTGAGGAGAGAATTCTTTCTGGGGCTCTCTAGAAAGCAGATTTGCCAAGGGGATGTGGGGGAGGGGGAGGCAGTCGAGTTATTTAAGTCTGTCCTGTGTTTCTGAAATGTGCTGGATCTTAAAGAGATGCTCAGCCTGTTCTCTGCCAGGCAGGATTGTTAACTGGAGGCTCTCCTGTCCCATGGATATGGATTCACCCACTGAGTTCAATTGCTTGCAGTCATTTGAAGTTAACGATTGCGTCTGTGTCTCTTTGCTTCCTAACCATAGATACAAATGTTTGCAAATGGAGCTGGGATTTTGTTTTCCCAGTTAGATAACCCAAAGAGCAGGAAAATATTCATTGAGAGCTGCTTTATGGGTGGAAAATTTGGCCACAGAGTGGATTAAAATAAGAGCCGGAGGTGGTCCTGCTGAGAAGATTCCCGGCAGTGGGATTAGTATTTGAACCCAGGACCACCGAAGGTTCCTGCAGAAGCAACATTACAAAGGGTTGGGAGGATATTTCACCTGTGTGCCAAGCCTGGATGGAGGTTGAGCAGACCATGAGAGTCACAGTTGCCCAATAGGTGCCATCAAAACATTGCTCCCTCTTGCCCAGAAGCGTCCCGGTTGCTCCAGTGATCTCAGCTTCCCAAGTTGCCCAGAAACCCTCATGCCTTGGAGGGATGGCGCTCTGAACTGGCCAGGCTGATGCTCTCCTGCCTTGACCATGTTCCCTCCTTCTCTTCAAAACAAGGGGACCTCCCTCTCTGAACAAGGGGTGCGCAGGGGAGGCCTTCTCAGGACACAGCTCCAGCCTTCATAGGGAGCGGGTGAAGGGGGGCTGGCTGGTCATTGTGGTGTGGAATATCAACCCCCCAGAGAAGGATCTTAAAGAGGCAGAAAAGCATGCCCAGTTTTCTTTAGCCCCAAGTCTCCCTCCCCCAAGCAGAAACCAGCTGTGTATAAATGCAGATGTAAATAATCCAGGAAGGTTGGAAGCCCCCAGCTAGAAGATTAAGAAGACACCTAAAATCTACATACCCCACCCAAAGTCTAAGACAGGACATAATAGGATTAACTCACAGATACCAAAGGGCACACCCAGACTCAGGCCAGAATACATGACATAGGAAATAGCCCCAAACAGGAAACAACTCCAAACAAAAGGCTCCAGAGGATATAAAAACCCACTCTCTACATATGCTCTCTCTCTTTTCTTCCAGAGCCATCTTTCTGTCTGGCTCTCCTCTTCAATAAACTGCAACCTTCTTTCTAAAGCAGTCGCCATGTTGTTTATCCCCGGCTTGGACTGAACCATGATGAAGACTTTTCCTTCAACAGTGGGAAAACACAAGAGAGGGCAGGGCCAAAACCTGGGGTGGAAAGGGCAGGGCAGGAAAGCTCATCAGAAGGGCACGTGCCATGCTGAGCGTGGGCAGCAGATGCCATCCCAGAGGTATTTCAGTGGGAGTGGGTTCAAACTGGCCAGTGTGGGAATGGTGAACCAGGTGCTGAGCTACAGAGGCGGAGGGGGAGGGGGAGGAGGGGCTTATAACTTTCTCCCCTCCTCTTTCGTGGACTTCTGTAACTGCCCACAAATCGGTGCAGCCTCAGAAAGCTGATGAGGAAAGAAAAGGATGAGTAGAAGATGGTGGGACAAAAGAGAGAGAGAGAAAGGAGTTAGTTTCATGGCAGGAGGTTTCTTGGGTTTCAATTATAGTCCTCTTCCTTATATGTTATTCCAGTGATGGCGAATCTTTTAGAGACCGAGTGCCCAAACTGCAACCCAAAACCCACTTATCCATCGTCGGGTGCCGGGTGGGTGTGGCCCACTGGCTGGGTGTGGCCCATTGGCTGGGTGCGGCTGCAGTGGTAATGGCAGACTGGATGGGACTAAAAAGTTCAATCAATTCCAACTTTGTAAGATCTTTTTTTTTTCCCCCGCGAGAAGTTGAAATTGATTGATTGAACCTTTTTTTTTTTTTTTTTTGCACACGGAGGTGGAGGCCTAAAGCGAAAAGGTTTTATAAAACCCAGCTGAAGGCCTAGGACTGGGGCGACAGTGCGTGTGCCCACAGAGAGGGCTCTGAGTGCCGCCTCTGGCACCCATGCCATAGGTTCGCCACCACTGTGTTATTCCTATTGGAGAGGAGAAGAGAGGAGGGGAAGGAAGGAGAGGGGAGGAGAGGGAAGGGGAGGACAAGAGAGGGGAGGGGAGGAAAGGAGAGGCGAGGGGAGGGGAGGAGAAGGGAGAGAAAGAGAGGAGAGGAAAGGAGAGTAAACAAAGATATCTAAAATGTTACACAATGTTACACAAAGATATCTAAAAAGTTACACAAACACCACACATGGTTCTGCAAACCAGTATGGCTTCCACACACACGCACCACCTTGTGGTTTAAATTCTCAGGTCTCCTTTTCAGGATTTCATCCGTTCCAACACAAGTTTTCTCAAGTCTTTTCCCTTGCTCAGCACCTGTCAACTTCCCTCTGAAAGTGCACGGTCCTCCAGATATGGCCTCACCAGAGCAGTAAGCAGATCCTGCAAGGTCCTCACCTGTCTCTTAAATGCAGCCCAAAACTGTGCCAGCCCTTCAAACAGCTGGCTCACCCACCCCATCCCAAGGAATTCCCTGATGTCCCTTTTTTCCAAGCCATCACTGCTCCCCCAGTTTGCCCTGTTCTCCCACTTAATTTTTCCCCTGTGGAAGCACATCTTGTCCTCACAGCCAGCCTTCTAACAAGCCCAGATTGGATCACAGGCTTGTTCCAATCTCCCTGGGGCTGACCATCCTCCTTCTTCTGTTGGATCCTCTGTAGACTTGAAAAGCAGCCCGTCAGTCCTCTGAATAAATATCCGGCCCTTAATAAAAACACTGAATGACAAGACAGATCCCTGCAGGATCCTAAGCGTCATTCCTCTCTCCTTCTCAGTTTTTCTTTTCAATTTAAACTCTTGCTCGTTCTCCTTCTCTCATCAAACCATCTCAAATTATCTTTGTTCTGGGTCACCACTCATCTTCCTTCAGTGGCCGTTATTTCCCTGACCTTGTTTGGTCTCTTTTCATCACACACCCACAGACCGAAGCCACCTGCAAGGGCGTTCAGCTTGTTTGGTGTTATGTGCGGCCGAAATCAGTGGTGGGATTCAGATATGTGAACAACTGGTTCTCTGTGTGGCTGCTGCTTCGGGAAGCCCATTCTGGGCCTGGGCAACAAAAAAAATTAGCTACGGGTTCTGTCAAAGTGGTGTGAACTGGATACCCCCAACACTCGCCTGCCCCGGAGACAGCAGGAGGAGGTGCACAATTTTAGGTGTGCCAGAGGGATGTCCTCCTTTTCCTTCTATGCTACTGAACAAGCCACGATGTCTCAAGACAACTATGGTTGGGCCTCACCTCCCTGCCCCCGTGAGAGGCACTGTTTTGGCGCCTCCTTGGGAAGCCAGTCACGATGCTTCTGCCCTCTGCCAAGCACACAAGGGGGTCCCGGGGGTCTTTGGGTCTGGGCCAGGTGAAGGCAGCAGAGGAAGGAGCAGATGGGCCTGAATGAATTGGCAGCAGACCCCAGAACATGCTGCTCTCTTCCAGCTGGGCTGGAAAACGCAGAGAGTGACCGAATGGCCTCCCAGGCCTGGCATGACCGCCGTGCTCCTTGGGGACCCACAATGGACACTTGCGGTTGTGTGCAAACGCTCAACGTATCTGCCTTGCTTTGTGGAAGGGACTTTCCAGGCAGATAGATGGCTCCTCTCCCAAAAGGGCTTCTCATTAACCATTGCCTGCTTGGCTCCGGGCTCCTCCTTGCGCCTGCAGCTCCAGGCATTCCCATGAGGAAAGGCTGAGCCTCTTTTGGGCCCAGGAAGCCCCACACACTCCCCGCAGCCCCAGCCTTTGTAGTGGTGGGGGGGTCTCCTTCAAGCTGTCAGGGTTGGAGTCTGCATTGACAGTGGAGATGAGAAAAGACTTCCCTCATTCCATCATTTGAAAGGATGAAGCAAAGACCAGGGGATACAGTCTGACTTCTCCCTAAAACATACAACAGTTTTCTGTGGCTTTTTTCGTTAATTAATGCGTTTGGAAATATTACCAGAAAGTAATTGGTATGCTACCTTAAATTGTTCAGTGTGTTTATACGCTTATCGTATTCCAGATATTTTCCCACACTATAATTCCTTTTTAATAATAATAGTAATAATGATAAAGTTGAAAGGGACTTTGGAGGCCATCTAGTCCAACCCCCTGTTCAGGCAGGAAACCCTATACCATTTCGGACAAATGGCTGCCCAGTTTCTTCTTAAAAACTTCCAGTGTTGGCGCATTCACTGCTTCTGGAGGCAGGTTGTTCCACTGGTTAATTGTTCTGTCAGGAAGTTTCTCCTTAGTTCTAGGTTGCTTCTCTCCTTGATTAGTTTCCACCCGTTGCTTCTTGTCCTGCCTTCAGGCGCTTTGGAGAATAGCTTGACTCCCTCTTCATTGGGGCAGCCCCTGAGATATTGGAACACTGCTATCATGTCCCCCCTCGTCCTTCTCTTCATTAAACTAGACATACCCTATTCCAGCAACCGTTCCTTATATGTTTTAGCCTCCAGTCCCCTAATCATCTTTGTTGCTCTTTTAGTCTTTGTCCCTCTATAGAATCTACACGTCCCCCAGTCCACAAGTTGCTTGTCACACAAAATAAAGGATACTTTTCTTCTTTGTAGTTGACTATTCCATGTTGCTGCTCCCTCCATTTTCCACCCACAGAATCTAGGCAAAAAAAGCCTTTATGGACTTCGGAGCAGAGCCACAGTCCGAAAGACAGAGCAGCCCCCCCTCCCCCAATTTGCCGGTTCCCCGATTCTCGTCTTCTCAGCAAAGACCACTCAGGCCAGGACGGGGGGAACTGTCATCAGGTTTTATTTTTTTTTCAACACATTAAATAAGCTGAATATATTAACAAGTATTTTCCAAGTATTATTAAAAACGCAGCTGCCTTCTCCACTGGTGCCAAGAAGAGAAGAAGGGCCAAGACGCCAGGCAGACCCACACTGAACCCACCCCACGCAGGGCAGGAGAGGATGGGATGGGCCAGGTATGTATCCTGACTGTCTCCCTGCCCCATCCCTCCGGGACACCCCACGGCGCCATGCCCAGGGTGTGCCAGTCCCTCTCAGATGGCAGAATGAGCTGGCCCTTCCCTTGCCAGCCTCACGGGGAGCACCCCCAACCCGAATTCCCTTCACCCCAGCCCTGCATCTTCCTTCTTGTACCCACCCATGCTGGAGGGCATCACCCCACCTGAGCAAGAGGTCGGGGAACCAAGGGCTTGACCCCAAGGCTGCAATGAGGCCAGGCAGGGGAGGGCCAAAGCAGCAGCAGCCCCTTATTGCACAGAGACCGGACTGGGCACCAGACACTTCCTCCTGGCTTCTGATAGGCTTGGCAGCCCTGCCTGCAACATTGCACCTGCTTGTCCCAATGGGGTAGTGCCACCCCCTCAGCCCATCTGGCTCCCGGAGGTCTGAAGGGCAGCCAGGACGTCCAGGCAGATCCAAAGTGCTCCTCAGCCGCAGGGCCAGCCTCAGGACTGGGCTTCCGGCAATTTGAGGCTGGGTTCTGCCAGGCCCGGTGCCAGGCCCTTGCAATGCTGGGGGTGCCTCTCCGGGCACTGCAGGCTCTTGGCCTCGCAGTTCAGGTTCTGGTAGCGGGGGGTGCTGGCAGCCGGCCGGTGGCAGACAGAAGCAAAGCTGAAGCTGAAGGGAACCAGGCAGCAGGCCGGGCAGGCCAGCACCTCGTCCTGCTCCATCACACAGCTGCTGTTGGAGGGGCTCAGGGGCAGCGCCGTCCCCGGGCACTCTGTCTGCGCTCTCTCCGCTGTGGGAGGCACACTCAGCTCAGAGAAGCCCCCGCCCCAGCCGTGTGGCTTGCTGTTATTGTTCAGGAGTATTCCGTTGGGGGACCACGGCTGGGCTGCTGACACAGCCGTGCTGATGAAGCTGCCGTTGGTCAACAGGGGTGATGGGCTGGCAGATGCTGGCACCGGGCTGTCCGGACTGCAGTCCATCCACTCACCGGCAAAGGAAACAGGGGGGTCCGGGGGTGTATGGTCCAGGGCCGAGAGCGGGCTGTGGGGTGCCTGCTCCCGGCGAGGCAGCTCTGGGGAAGCTGGCAGTGAGCGACACCTACGCAAGATGGGGATGGGCTCGGCAAAGTTGCACTGCATCTCCACAGTGGGTTCTGGTGTGATGGGGGTGCCGGGTGGAAAAGGTGAAGGGGGTGGCAGGTTGAAGGTCAGGGAGATCAAGGACTTGCTGGGCGTGTCAAAGAGCTTGATCCTGCCTCCCTTGAGGTCCTGTCGCTGGGAAAAGGGGTTGACTCGCTGTGGAGTGTCGTGGGCACGCGGCAAGGCGGGCGACCGAGGGCGGAACATGTCCGACTGGCTGCGGGAAAGGGGCTGCTCTGGTGTCAAGAGCCGTTGGCCAAGCAGGCCAGATGGGGCGTTGGGGAAGGAGAGCTGCTTGGCCGTTTGACCTGGATGCAAAAGGAAGGGAGGGCATGTTAGAGGCACCCGACTGCCCTACGCACTGCAAAAGCTGGAGCTAGACCAGGAAACAGCTCAGTTGCACCACGTTCTGAAGGGCTGGGAAGTAACTGCCCTGGCATACGCAGAGAATCGTGCATATTCCTCCCCCCCCCTCCATGGCTGAGAGGCCCAGGAGAAAAGCCCCCTCAAGCCGAGGGTGCGAGGCCTTCCGAGGCTGCTTATTTCCATCCGTCCTACCTTCGCCCCTTCCCAGCACCTGAAACGGTTCCTGTAATCATAATTGTAAATAAAACAAAACCCAACCACGTGATCCCTCTTCCAAGGGGGGGCACTTTCCCACCTCTTCCCCACCCCTCTCCCTGCATCGAAACTCCTGTCTTGAGAGACGCTCACCATTCAGTGCGGGTGCCGAGTTGGCAGGGAGGCCTGTCCCGTTGTTGTCCGTCAGGGCCAGGCCGGGGTCTCCCGTCATCAGCAGCATCGCCTCCAGGCGCTGGACGATCTCCAGGAAGGAGGGCCGGGCCGTGGGCTCCATCTGGGGGCAGGAAAAGGAAGCACGCGGGGCGGCTCGTCTCTTTTGGGTCCAGTTGCAGGCCCAGTTTATGGCGATGGGCAAGCTGCACGTCTCAGGGGGTCCCCCTGGCCTTTCATGTTCAGCACCAGCTCCCTATTCTGCCTTTACCTGTGGAGCAGAGCTGGCCTCCCCTCCTTAGGAAACCCCTCCCCTCCAGCTCAGCCTGCTCTCTGCAGCATCAGCCTCGGAAAAAAAACCCTACAGAATTCAGAAATATAGGTGGGACTCTCCAGGCTGCCTGGTTGCTTTGCCCCTGGATGGTAAAGCTGCAGCCCGAGTGGTGATGCCCGCAGCTCCTGTGAGGACTACGCCCTCCTTCTGCAAGAGATCCCACCTGGCATGAGTGTCCCTTCCAGGGCTCTTCTCTTACTCAGGCTTCAGCAGCCCCCCACTTTCCTTGGGGGGGAGGGGGCGCCAGGACCCACCTTGCAGCAGTGGAAAGCCAGATGGAGAAATGCCGCTGGACAGTTGGCTCCCACCAGGTTGCAGAATGCAGCCACATCGAGGCCAAAGTCCTGCGGAGAGAAAGAGTGAAGGAAGGTAGGGGCTAGGGAAGATCTATTCCCCTCCCCCCCCCCAAAGAAAGATGCTCTTTGGAGGCAGGACCAGTGAGCTAGTTGCTACACTGCCTGGACTCACCCAATTGCAACCATGTTCACCCCCCCCCTCAGAAATTCAAGGGGATTGCTCAAGAGGAAAAGCCTTTCCCAAACGAGCCCCCCCCCCCAATACAGAGTGCTCCCAGTGAGACCCTCGGTAGCTTCCAGGGGTTTGCTTCTGGGCTGGCTGAGCAGGGAAGGTTCAGCCCCCTGGGTTTTATGTTGCAAACAGGCTGGCAGGAACGTGCACTAGCTAGAGCTCCCACATGAAAGAAGCTCACCCAGAGAGCGTCAGCCTTATCCTGCCTGCCCCCCGGGACCCTGCCCGAAGACCCAGGCATCCCAATGGGGATGCCAGGAGGGAGTCGGGGTCAAGATGTCTCCAGGATACAGCCTGGCATGCAAGCAAGTAGCTGCGCAGCAAAAGGCCTCTGAAAAGCAATCAGGAAGAAGGCCCCACTTGTTGGAGGGCAGCCTGAGGTTCTGGGGGGCTTTTAAAAGGGACCCTCTGACCATTTTAGCATCACAGCCAACATTCGGCTTTCTGTAATCATCCCATGGCTTTTAGCACTTCGGGAGGGAAAGCTGCTTCTCCGCTGCACCCGGCACAAAGAGTGGCAGGTAAGCGGCACTTAAGCCAAGGCAGCCTCTGCCAGCCAAGCTCAATGACGGGAACTATGACCCCCCCCTCTCACCCCCCCACCGTCCCATGAGGCCTTTGCATAGTCATCGCCTCCCCCCACTGCCCCGTGGCCAGCAAGCAGGTCTTGACAGGTGCACTGGGTTTAAACGGTGTGCTGATTCAATAAGCACCCCCCATCCACTCGTCCATGAGCTGGCTGAACAAGCCGCGTTCCCCTGAGTCACAAGAGGGGACTGGGTGAAAGCCACGGGGGGAGGGGCGCTCAGGAACTGCCCTGGTGCAAGACTAGCCAGGAGGTAAAACTGGCGAGGTTTCCTGCCTCTAGGACAGTGGTTCTCAACCTTTTTAATGCCGTGACCCCCAACCGGTCGTAAGTCGAGGACTACTCAACTGGTCGTTAAGTCGAGGACTACTCAACTGGTGCAGCACCGTTGGCAGAATGGGACTTGTGGCGGGCTCAGCAGGGCAGAGACAGCCTGGACAATTCCTATTGGCTTTTGAAAGCCAATAGAATTAGACTCTATTCAAGAGAGTCTATTCTATTGGCTTTCAAAAGCCAATAGAATAAAAGGGAGTAGCACAGCTAAGGAAAAGGGGGAAAAAATGGCGTTGTTTGGCGACCCCCGTGAATTGGTCGTTCGACCCCAAATGGGGTCCCGACCCACAGGTTGAGAACCACTGCTCTAGGACTCCTGACACGGAGGGAGCCCAATGGAGCCGGGCTCCAGCACTTCTTCGTGGCACCTCATGGCTGCAAGTTAGTTCACACATGCACCGTTCCCTTTCCCCCCCCCCGAAATCTGATCCCCTGCCAAGGACAAAGCATTCAGGGACTGACTGGGGAGCATCAGAGCCCCTTGGAGCTCAGCCCCTTCCAAACGCCTCCAAGCTCCTGGACTCTGCGCAGGACCGGCTCTTCTCTGCCAACCAGTCTGCCCGCTTTAAACTCTCTTTCCTCAGGGGGGCTGGCAGTCTCCCCTATGGCCGGGGCTGTAGAGGGATGTGGGGGGGGGCTTACCTCTGTGCGAGGCAGGTAGTCGGGGTCAGCCGGCACTCGTGCGATGGTCTCACAAAGGATGATGCCATAGGCAAAGACGTCCGCCTGCAGGAGACAGTGATGGGGTGGTCTCAGAGGGGCTGGGGGAGCCCTGAAGCAGGGGGGCCAGGGACAACTGGGCCAGGAAGAGGGAAAGCAGGCACCCTCATCCTCTCCCCCCCTCCCCCATCTCCCTCTCACTGTCACTCTTTCTCCCGGGGCTCACCTTCTCGTTGTACAGCTCCCCATGCAGGACCTCGGGGGCCATCCAGTATGGAGAACCCACCACGGCCAGGGGCTCCTTCTCGCTGCCCTCACTGGAAGAAGGAGGAGGGGCTGTGAGAATACAGGGTTGAGTTTGGGAGGGGTGAACAGAAGGAGCAGCAGCCAAACTCACCTGTAGGTGGGGATCTTCTCTGCCAGGCCAAAGTCACCCACCACTGCTGTGTAGCCATTGTCCTCACACCTGACCAAGCAGTTCTGGGGGGGGGGAAGAGGGGTACATTTGAGAGGCCATTCCAGGTAAAAGGCAGCTCCTAGGATGGGGCATCTCTGACTAGGCAACCCCCTCCCAGGAAATAAGGAGAGGGCTTAGGGGACGACCACGGCACAGGCTTCCCAGGTGCCAAGAGACTCTGCTATCCCTTCTCTGGGCCGTAGAAACGGGGGGGTCCAGGACTTCCGGGGGATCCCATGGCAGGACCCGCTCTTTCTCCAGCCCACCTTTCGGGGAGGCCCTTCAAGGCTCCCCCTCCGCAATCAGCACAACCCCCGGTGTCAAGCTGCCCCACCACTCATCCGAGATCCAGTATTGGATTCCCCTGCTGAATCCTCTGCCCACGTTGAGGCACAGATGTGGGTATGGGTGTGCAGCAGAGCCCCCCCCCACCTTGGAGGTCAGGTCCCGGTGGAAGATGCCCTTGCTGTGGAGGTAGCAGAGCCCCCGGGCGATGTCCAGGGCCAGCTTGAGGCGGACAGGCCAGGGAAGTGGGGTGGGGCTGTCGAGCAGCTGCTCCAGGGTCCCCCCATTGATGTACTGCGGAGAGAGAAAGAGCAAGTTGTGGGGGCCTCGGTCCCCCAGAACAGCCAGGCCCTTGGCTGATCCTTGACGCCCAGCCCCTAACACCTCACCTCTGTCAGCGCATGCAGCTGGCCCTGGTGAACGCAGACCCCCATGAACCTGGCAGAGGAAGAGAGGAGCAGTCAGCAGTGAGACCCTTGCCTGGTGCCCCTTAGCCTACCTGGAGCTTCCCTCTGTCACCAGCACCCCTGGATAAAAAGGAACAGGACTGCCCCCTGCTCTGCCATGGACACCAGAGGCCATGCTCACCCCCTCCCCCACTCCCAGAGGGTGTTCTATGCATGAGGAGCTCTCGGTGGGGCTCTCTCAAGCCATTCGGGGTGGCACCAGGAGACCCCTGGCAGGAGGGGGCCAGGATCAGGTGGTGGAACATCTGGGCCCTTCTTCCACTGGACTCCTGAACACTTACGCCTGGCTCTCCCAGCTTCCCAGATATGCTGGACCCTCCCCCCAAGCGGTCTGTTTTCTTCCAGGCAGGGGAGCCCCAAGCTCCACCAGTCCCTCTGCCGTACCGGAGGATGTTGGGGTGGCAGAGCCGGTTCATCAGCTGCACCTCGCGCAGCATGTTCCCTCGGTTGCTGGTCAGCTTGTTCATCTTCAGCACCAGGACCTGCCCCGACTGACGGTGCCTCACCTGCAGGGACAGCCGTCCATCACTCCGGGTCACTCTGGCCCCATAGCTGGCGCAGAGAGGAAGCCCCAAACCCCGTTTGGATAGCACCCCGTGGAACCAGCCCCAATGGCAGTCAGTGCCCAAAGGCCTTGGGGAGCAGAGCTCTTCCAGCCTCAACATGCTGAACCAAACCCCTGAAATGCCCATGCAATCGATCCCTAGGCTGGGAATCATGGGAACCAAAGTCCAAAGTTCCGAGGAGATGGCGTACCGGCTTCAGAATCAGCCAGAGTTACAAAACCAGAAAGCCAGAAACAGACTCAAAGCTTTGGAGATGCTTGAGAGCCTGGGGCCAATTTCTCCCCCAAATGGCCTCTACCCCAGGGTTTCCCATCCATGGCTCTTGAGGGGGTGTGGACCCCCAGAATTCCCCAGCCAGCATGGTCTCAGCCCCCTCCTCAGTCAGCAGACTGGCTGGGGGGATTCTGGGGGTCCACACCTCCTCGAGTGCCATGGATGGGAAACCTGCTCTCAACAGTTCAGCTAGTTTCCAGACACCTGACGCAAGCATCATGAACCCCACCCCACCCCAGTTCTGCCGGAGCTCCCTCCCCAAAATTGCCAATGGGCTCACATTCAGGGAATCAGAGGACACCCCCCCCTTTGAGGAGGCCCAAAGAGTGGGCATTAGGGAAGAGCAAAATGTGGAGCAAAAGAGGGGGAGCAGCAGGAAGGAGGGAACCCAGAAAACACATGTGGGACCTGCTGTTAAGCAAGAATCCTCCCTCCCACTCCCAGGTTGCGATGGCTTCTCCTGACTTTCCTCGTTCCAAAGGTTTCTCATATTCTAGCATAATTGCAGACTTCATCTGGAAATTGCTGAGCAGCTGTATTTTTATTGATTTATAGCCTTTGCACCAGCCATTGTCTGAAGCGACACAGAGAGGAATGTGGCATCCCTGCCTGGAGGCTTGCAAAACAGAAAGGGCAGGACAGGACCGGTCAAAAGGCCTCAGGACTTTTGTGGGGCCTTGGGAGGCTCGCCAAACCAGGGCACGTTAAGCGGAGGCGATGCCTCTGCCCCACAACTCCTGTGCCAGCCTGCCCCCCTACCCACTTCCCTTCTATCACTGACCCTCCAGCGACCTCTGCTTTAGGACAGGAGTCTGGGTGCATCACAGCAGCTTCTAGCACCCCATACAGGGCTAATGGGGCAGGAAAATTGGGGGAGGCCAAGCAAGCCAACGCTCGGAAGCCCATTGCTCCAGCACTGCCATCAACCAGGCACAAGGACAAGGTGAATGGCACCTGCCCAGGTGGCACACGTGTTCTTTCAGGGCCAGGAGCTTCCACTCAAAGCCAACTCCAGCATCCCCCCCCCCCTTGGCTCCATTCACAGCACCACAGTGGCCAACCAGAAGACTGTGCAGCCGCCCACCGGGATCTTTGCCTAGCCCTAGACCAGTGGTTCTCAACCTGTGGGTTGGGACCCCATTTGGGGTCGAACGACCATTTCACGGGGGTCACCAAACAACGCAGTCCGCCATTTTTTCCCCCTTTTCCTCAGCTGTGCTACTCCCTTTTATTCTATTGGCTTTTGAAAGCCAATAGAATAGACTCTCTTGAATAGAGTCTAATTCTATTGGCTTTCAAAAGCCAATAGGAATTGTCCAGGCTGTCTCTGCCCTGCTGAGCCCGCCAAAAGTCCCATTCTGCAAACGGTGCTGCACCAGTTGAGTAGTCCTTGACGTACGACCGGTTGAGCAGTCCTCGACTGACGACCGGTTGGGGGTTGCGGCATTAAAAAGGTTGAGAACCACTGCCCTAGACAGTAAGAGCCCCACAGGCTGCTGCCAGGTTTGCAGGCCAAAAGGAGCTCCTTTATTTATTTAGAAATCATATTTATATAGCCGCCTGCCTCACCAAACGTGACTCTGGGCAGCCTAGCATAAAACCATTCAAGAAACCTTAAAAAAAACCTAGTCTCCCCACCCACTGGAGCACAGACTTAGGGGTACAGTTTCCCCACTGTGGAAAGTCAGGCCTTTCCCCAACACGGGGACAGGACTGGGAGGAGGGGGCTGAAAACATCATTTCCCAGGGACAAAATTTCAGCCAGGAGCTGAGCCCAGTCAGAGGATGAATCTGTACCAGACACAGCAGCATCCTCCACCCCCACTCCCCACCACGGCCTGGGAGCAGTCTGCAGCCCCTCACGCCCTGGGTAGGGCAGGCCTGTTGAACAGCTGCCCGGACAGGCCTAGCCGTCTCACCGCCCTCCCCTCACACTGCGGGTGCATCCTCCCTCTCAAATTCCTGGGCTCTGCAGCCGATCATTCCTGTCCTTTTTAGTCCATGCCTGAGTCTCCCTCCGCTGTGCCTGCTCCCCCCACCCCAGCCTCCTGGCCCTGGATATGACTGCCCCCCCAATTCCGGGAGGGGCCTGGGTTGTGCAACCGGGAGGAGCCCAAGATAAGAGTCTCTCCCTGGGTGGGCAGTGTGGGGGACACAGCCCTCCTCTTTGGTTGGAGCCCACTAGCCCTTTTCTCAGCAAGGGATGGGGGTCCCTCCATGCCAAAGCTCCAGATGCCCCCTCTCCATCCACCCCATGCCCAGCCTGGCAGAGCTCTCTCGAGGCTGAGCACCCCAGCTGTGCCGGCAGGGGAGGCCCAGGGTCAGACGGGGTCATGTCGCCCAGAGGGGGACCCCGTCCTATAATAATAATAACAGCAGAATAGACCAGAAAGAACTGGAGAAGATAACAAAATACAAAGACCTACAAATAGAAATAGAAAGACTGTGGCAAAAGCAAGCAAGGGTAGTACCAATAGTCATAGGCACCTTGGGTGCAATCCCAAAACAATTGGAGCACCACTTGAACACCATTGGCATTGACAAATTCGCCATTAGTGAATTGCAAAAGGCAGCCTTACTAGGAACTGCTTTCATCCTGCGACGATATCTGTAATACCATCAAACGTCCACATCTGCCTATCCCAGGTCCTGGGTAAGCTTGACAGGTAGATAAAATGCCAAATCCAGTCTGAACATCTGGCTGACTGTGCGATGATCAATAATAATAATAATAATAATAATAATAATAATAATAATAATAATAATAATAAAAAAAGTTGGAAGGGACCTTGGAGGTCATCTAGTCCAGGGCTTTTCAACCTTTTCACCCATTGTACCACTTTTAGGATATGGCAACATCCGAGTACCACCAGTCGCCTAGCAAGGTATCAAAAACTTGACCCCCCCAAAAAGGAAAAAAGTGATAAAGTACAGGTAGTCCTTGACTTACAACAGTTTGCTTAGTGATTGTTCGAAGTTACAATGGCACTGAAAAAAGTGCCCCCCAAGCCACAGCCGAGCAAGACACCTGCGTTCCCACCCAGTGGCGCTCTTCTCCTGTCTGAGGTTTTCATTGTTGTGAGCATTTCTGTTGAGGATTGGCAGCGGGGGTGGGGTGGGGGGTGTTTGGTTTTTATTCCCCCTGTCTGCTGGGTGGTTGCAGCAGCTTTTGGTTACTTCACATGACCCTGGGACACTGTGACCATCATAAATATGAATCAGTTGCCAAGCATCTGAATGTAAATCACAAGACCCTGGAGGTGCTGCAACATTCTAGCTGATCGGCACTTCTTCTGGGCTCAGCAGAAGCACCAGGATCAGTGCTGCTTTCCAGCTGATTGGTGGTTCTTCAGGGCTCAGCAGAAGCACCAGGATCAGCGCTGAGCTCCAGCTGATCCTGGCACTGATTCTGGCACTTCCACTGAGCCCTGAGAGCCCCGAAGAAGCGCCGATCAGCTGGAAAGTGGCCCTGATCCTGGCGCTTCCACTGAGCCCTGACAGCCCTGCAGCTCCAGCCATCTCTCGCTCAGGCTTGTACGGTGCTGCCACCGGTTCAGCTCATTCCCCTCCCCCGCTACTTTTCTAGGATGGTAGTGTACCACTTGCCAGGTGCCAATGTACCAGAGGTGGTACCCGTACCACTGGTTGAAAAGCCTTGATCTAGTCCAACCCCCTGCTCAGGCAGGAAACCCTATACCAGTGATGGTGAACCTTTTAGAGACCGAGTGCCCAAAAACTGCCCCCGCTCCACCCCCAGCCACGCCCATACCCTGCCTGCCCGCAGGGCCACTCACCGCCTCCAGGGCCCACCACAGATCACCCAGGCGGCCCAGCAGCGCCATGGCGGCCATGCCCTCTGTCTGTCGTGAAGGGGCATAAGGGCAGAGTCCTGTCTGCACTGCCTGGCTGCCATGTCCTTGGCTGTGCTGCTCCACATGGGCCACGCTCGGGGGGGCAATTCTCCTTCAGGGGGGCTGCTGGTGAGGGGGTCACAGGGGGAGGCAAGGCTGGGGCAACGGCATGTGTGCCCACAGAGAGGGCTCCGAATGCTGCCTCTGGCACCCGTGCCAAAGGTTCGCCACCACTGCCCTATACCATTTCGGACAAATGGCTGTCCAGTCTCTTCTTAAAAACTTCCAGTGTTGGAGCATTCACTGCTTCTGGAGGCAGGTTCTGAAGCTGCCTCTGTGGGCATGAGCTACGTAGGGCCTCTGAAGGAGGAAAGCCAGTTGTCTGACACGTCTCCTGCTTCCCTGCCTCCACACGTGAGGCAATGCTCCTGCCAGCCACAAAGCTGCCAGCCACAAAGCCCAAATCCTGTCCATCAAGGCCCCCTGCAGATCTGGGAAGACAGGGCCTCCCGGGCTTAGAGGGCCCCTTGTGGCATCCAGCCAGTCCAGGCCCACAGCTGGAGAACAGCTGCCTGCCAGGAACTGCCACTCCATTGAAGAAGGCAGCATGGCCAGCAGTGCCTCTCCTATCTTGCCTTCCCAGCACAGAAGCTGCTCCCACACAGGGAGGGGGGGCAGACCCAGCCCTTGGACTTCTCGGTGTACAGGGACAGCCTTTCTGGGACACTCAGACAGTTGAGGGGACTAGAACAGGCTGTCACTCCCAACCAGAACCCCCAGCGGGATCACTTTGGACGGAGCTGGACAAGGGTACCC